CCTTATGATTTTTATACAACTCATCATTGTTCCAAGTCAAAAATATAATTTCAAATATAAGGAGGTAAATAAAAGATGATATTAAAATTACCAAAATGCAAAATTTGGGCATTTTTCAGTTATCAGGAAATTGATGGCATTAAAGGAGATTCAACCAATCATCACATCTTTTGCAAACCATTTTGCTTTTTAAGTGTAGTAACAAAAGTAGGTTGAGCTTATTTGTAAGCATAAAAGGGTTGGTTTTTTTTTTTTCCGTATAATCAAAACATCACCACCACCCCAGTCAAAAAGCTGGGTTTATCATCGGACTCACCCAACATCATATTGTAACCATTAGATCTGATAGACTAGAATCAGTTATTGTAGGTCTGTGACAGAAGCATAATGTAAGCTATAGTAACAGCCCATTCACTACTGTTTGCAGTATTAATACAACCGATTCTAAATAACATGTCCTTAAATAGTTGGGTCATATAATGAAGTAAGGTTCTAATGATGGGTCTTGTACATTAGTGTGACAAAACTTTTAAAGTGGCAAATTTTAAACATATCCCTAAAAATCTTATCATTAAATTGACACTTGTTCCAGAATATATGCCGAAATTATTCCTCATCCTCACAACACGTACCCACCCTAATGTACAATATAATATCACCAGGTTCCTAGCAGAGGGTCCTCACATTCTCCTATCCTGTATCTCCTATCCTGTATCTCTGTGAGCTGAATTCTGAAGAATTTTAGGGCACCTTTAGGAATATCTTCAAAACATTTTCTTTGAAATATTTCCAAGTAAAACAAACTTGTCTTAAGTAGCCAGAAGTTTTCTCTGAAGCGTTCAGCAATGAAATCTGATCTATCCTTACTATGCAGGCATCAGAGCCCAAATCAAGTGGGATGGTGTTTATAGCATCTTGTTATATGCCCGAGTACTTGATTATGAAGACTACTGAACTGACTGTAAATAGGAATAAAGGCAGAAAATTAGACCTGAAGAAATTGAAAAAAGTGAAATCTAGGAAGTTCTATTAGAAACCAGAGCACCAGGGCCTCCCCGGTGGCGCAGCTGTTGAGCGCTGGGTTGCGAAGCTGCCCGCAGCCTCTGCAGCACCCGTTCGATCCCCGGCTGCTCCCTGGCCACCGGAGGAGGGTCCCACATGGTGCGCAGACCTCTCCTGCCGCCCGCTGCTCCCCTCAGCAGTGTACTTCGGTCCTTCTACCTGCTCTGCTCCCCGCTCTGACTCTGGTGAATTCTCTCACCTCTCACGCTTCTGACTGTACCCAGTGCTTGTACAAATAAATAAATCAATCTTAAAAAAAAAAATTAAAAAAAAAAAAAAGAAACCAGAGCACCAAACATTAGTCCTTTTAAAAGCAGATTTTAGGTCTAAATGTCAGTAAAGATACTCAGATGGTCTGGGGAAGAAAGAAGTAGACAGTGTCCAAATATAGTGACTGGCACATCAGAGGGAGAATCTGGGCCACCTGACTTATCTCCCAGTTTCATCAAAGAGGCAGAAACTTCTCAAGATCAGTGGTTCCTGAGTCCTAGGTGGATATTAAATTACTTGGGGTACTTTATAAAATTACCAGTAGCAAGGGAAACAACCAAGACTAACTAAAAAGTACTCTTTGATGGTGGGGTCTAGCAACAACATATTTTTTCAGAGTTCCATAGATGATTCTGACAGGCAATGGGGGTTTGAAAGCAATGCACTAGAGCACTGTTTGCCAAATTTTAATGTTCACACAAGTAACCAAAGGGTAGCATTAATACACAGTTTCTAATTCAAGGAGTCTATGGTGGAGCCTATTATTCTGCATTTCTAATAAGTTCTAATGTGATGTGGATTATACTGGTTCATAACCACTTTGAATAGTAGTCTCTAGCACAATGTATCTCAGCCTCGACTCATATTAGAACCACCTGGGGAACTTTTTTAAATGCCTATGTGTGACTCCTACCCACAGAGATTCTGATTGATGTGGAGTTTGGGCATCAAAATGTTTTTTAAAACTCCCATATAGTCAATGCTCAGAAACACTGTTCCAGAAAAACTGACATAATGCATTCAAGCATAGAAGAAAAGGAAGATGACAAGGGCAGAGGGAACAAGTTTTTGTTTTTTTTTTCCTTGGTTTACTAATCATTTCTAAGATGATGTGAATATAACTCCTCAAACACTAACAAATGATGAGAACTCAAAGTTACCGTTAAAGCTTAGTGCAACATATCATTCATTCCCAGAGTTTAAGAGGAAGTCTCTATAAGTGGATGATGGAGCGTGTGTAAAAAAAAAAAAATCTCCCCAATTTCCTCTTTATTGCACTCCCAGACTTCAAGTCATGAAAAAAAAAAATCCTGAAAATGTGGGAGAGAGTTCACACCTCCACTCTCTGCACACTATGTGAACCACCCTTCAGTCATGCTGGTGCAGGATACTCAGAAAACTGTTCTTAACACAATCCTCACCAACAATCATTCCATCTCTGGCAAATGAACATGATATTGAGGGAGGCTAAGGCCCTTAAGTAAGCACAGCAATGGCGATACGGAGTACACTGATAGCAGTGCCTGTGTAAGCATTTTTCATAACCTTGCTACAGTACAAATATAACTTGCCTTGTAAAAAGATGAATAGAGATTTTTAAAGAATGGGAATCTATAAAAATTATACAAATCAATGGAAAGTCAAAAGAATCTTGATGGGCAAAAAAGGTCAAAACTGAAAATTATCTACTACTCCAGAATCAAAAGAAAATGGCCAGATAGTGGAGATTATCTGTAGACTATGAAGCAAAAAAAAGCAAAAACTAACTAGGAGAGGACAGGAGAAAATGTAAGAAAATATGGCGAGATAAGAAAGAAATCTAATTCAACAAAAAATATTAAAATATTAACATATACCAAGAAAAAAAGAAATCTAAGAAAATTGGAACTTCACAAGCAAAATTAAAACCAATATAACTAGTAAAAACCAGAACTGATCTGCAGATAACCAAATGGATCATATGACAGATTAACTTTAAACTATAAAGGAAAAAGATGAAGAGCTGATATCATAAATCCAACGTGCAGATAATTAATATTCAAAAAGTAAAGACCAAAGTAAATAGAATAGAATCAGATAAAACAGGAAAATGCTAAGTGGAAAAATATAATTGTATGCAGATTGGAAAGACAAATGCATCCACCATTAATACTATCTCAGCCGGTTTTCTTAAAGGGACATAGAAAAAATGTCTGCAAGCATTTAAGTTTACAAGATCTAACCTTTAAAAATGAAAATAGAACTTCAACACTTAGCAAAAAATATAGAATAAGGCAATATGTATACGGTATTTTTTAAGATTTTTTTAAAAAGATTTATTTATTTATGCATACAAGAACTGGGGTACAGGCCAGAGGTGTGGGGGGTGAGAGAATTCACCAGAGACAGAGTGGGGAACAGAACAGGCAGATCGACTGAAATACACTGCTGAGGGGAGCAGCGGGCAAGTCAGGAGAGGTCTGCTGCACCATGTGGGTAGCTCCCTGGCCAGCTGGGGGATTGAACTCATGTTGCAGTTGCTGCAGATAGCTTCATAGGTTGCATCTTAACCCCTTGCGCCACCAGGAAGGCCCATATACAGTATTTAAATAAAAATTTTACCCCAAACTTCATATGCTGCTCACTTACTTAATTTTCTGCATTCACATGAATGACTTAAGGGGAAATGAGGAAGGTTGGGGGACTGTTTAAAATGGGAAAAGATTTAAAAGATGATGACATTAATCCAGTAGAGAGGAAGAAGTCAATGAGATTACAAATTGTACAAGTTTTCAGTGAGAGAAACAAGAAATAAACATAAGTGAAACAAAAGCTCCCTTACTGCATCAAGAGAAAAGAGATGGTAGTTACAGATATAGGCATGCACATTGGTAGGAGGAAAGTTGAGTGAGTTCCTTTTGATGATGTATTTTCTCTCTGAAGCAGAAAACATCTGCTATGTGATGATGAAAAGCAGGTGTTAGAGAGTGAAAAAGAAGGTTGAAAATAAAAGTTCAAAGAAAGGCAATAGAATTGGAAGGAGATGTTGAAGGTCCACTTGAGTCATGGACTTAAATGGTTCCAACCTCCCTTAATGAAAGACTCATCCAGCAAGACTTGTCCTTGCCTGGCTATGATGGCAAGGAGAAAGCAACAACATGGAGGAATCCCAACATGGGTGTAGTTTTTTTTAAAGTGCGTGTAGAGGTATGAATAAAACTAAAACAGGAGGCCTAAGGTATTTAGAATATTAACAAATGCATTAGTAAAATTGCGGGCTGTGAAATCAGAGTAGGATAAGGAAATAAAGGAAACATGATAACATGGATAGAAAAAAAAAATCAAGTAGTTGCACAAGTAAGCCAGAAAGACAGAAGCTGTGTCCAAAAGCAAGGTGCCTTCCGAGATGGAATAATTATAGATGAGTAGGTGAACTGAAGGGAGAGGTCATAGGAGATGGAAAGGTCAAGGAACTGACCTTTAGGTCTTGGTTATGTCATGTACACAGCTCTCAAGGCTATCAGGAATTGTTAACTACCATATCATTATCCTTTCATATACTATATATGGTTTCAAAGGGAGAACATTCAAATAGTAGAACATTCATTCCTAGGAGTGAAGTTTGGGCATTATCAGCAACAGTATAAGTGGGTACTAAATTAAGTAACTTCACCATAATTAGAGCAGTGACCATTTGCATAAATTATCAAGTCTATAAAACTCCTTTTTGCTACTTAACTATATCGCCTCAATCAAGAGTGTAAGCCAATTCTCACTTTTATAAAGCAGATACACAAGAGAAAAAAAAATCAAGCTTTCTCCCACTTCTCCCCAACCTAAAATCATCTTTTATGAAAATATAGTAATTTTGAGTAAGAAGTTCTACAGCTAACTATGGATTGCACACATAAGTATAATATTAGTAAAATCACAAAATTAATTTTTTGAAAAAGGATAAAACTTCTTACCAAAGGAAGGTGATTCTCTTCCATCCTCTAGTCCAGAATCTCTCTCTCTGTCTCTCTTTCTGTGTTTATGACCACGATGCCTGTGACGTCGATGGCTTTTTCTTCCTCCCAGGGGCACATGAACTCCAATAAATAGTGTCCGATGACCTACATCAAAAGTAAATACACAAATTAAACTCTGTATTATTCCAGAACACAGAGATGATTTACATGTTAATGGAAATCTCAAATTCAATCCAGCAAATATTTTTTTGAGTGTTTATTATCTGCAAAACTTGGGGTTATATTTTGGCATTATACCTACTTAAGTATGTCTTAGGTCTACCAAGAACATTTACAAAACTAACTATTTGGTTATATACTTTACAATTACCATTAACTTATTAACTGTCAATAATATTTCTGGGCCTAACCGATAGCTTATAATTATAATCTTCTCACTGAACATATTTATTTTCTTTTCCTACTGTCAATTAATAATGTTATCTCAGAAACACCCTACCCTTCACTATTAAGTGTGAAATAATCACTATTTCTAATAAAAAATATTTTACCAAGGTATGTAGTAATGTCAAATCCTGTGGACTTTTTTTTCCCAATTCTGCTATTTCTCTCTGTGGCACTAGATACCACTGACCACTCTGTATGCTTTTACTTTCTTTTGATTCCCCTTGTTTGCTTTGTTCATATTACCTTCTGGCTCTCTCCTTTGACCCCTGTAAGACAAGGGATCTCCAGATCTCTCTTTCACCTCATGATTTTAACTAATATATATTTCAGCACACATAAATTGTAGGCCCACATCTTGATGTGGGATTATAGAACTCTTGGATTATAGAACTATGCATCCTTTCATCTTTTACACAAAGTCATCCTTCTCACAAACATGGGAAACTCAACACATTGATATAATGCATCATGTTTTTTGTCCTCCAAGTATCAACAACCTATTATTTATCTCAGTAAATATAGCACCTATCCAGTCATCTCCAAACCCATCCAATTTATCATCAGGTTTTCCTTTGCATGTTTTAAATACATTTCCTTTTTAATATATCTAGTGATGCCATCTTAATTGGATTATTGTCATTTCTTTCCAACCCTATTTGAAGATTTTCCTTATTGTTGTTTTCCAAAATCCAATCTAGTACCACCTTTATCCATCCTGAATGCTAGTGACTTTTCAAAAATCTGATTACATTACTCCCCTGCTTTAAATTCACTGACTGTTATCTGTTGCTTATAGCATAAAGTCTTTAGTATTTTATATGGCTAAACAATGCCTGTCTTTTGTCTATTTCTACAGGAAGGCTTCTAATTATACTCTGCAAGTCAGTATGTCACCATTACTGAACAACCAGATGTTTTCAAGTCCCTCTGCTTTTACTTAATGCTATTCTTATTCTTTCAACTGTTTGAAATGTCTCTGTCTCTTCTGAAAAAATACCTAGTCATCTTCCAAGTCACAGTTTAGGGATTATGTCATCCAGGGTATGTTTCCATATATGCTCACTCGAAATATAGTTGAATGCTTTTTCCCTTAAGATCCTTCACTACTTAGTTATACACATCATACACAAACTCTTAATTGCAATTGTTGACTTATAAATGGTTTTCTTCTTATGACTCTTCTCTAGGAAAGGTCCAAGTGTTATCCATTTTGCATATTTGCCATAAGACACATGGCCTGGCATATAGCAAATGCTTCACAAATGTTTACTGAAGTAAACAATTTATTAAGTAAGCACCAAGGACACAAATATAAGTAAGACAATATTTTATTCTTATAATTACCATATTTTAGCCCTGCTTAACATACATGAAAAAGTGGCATTCATAAGAGTGAATAAGAGTAATACATTGCTCTGGGTATTACCTGGATAAATGCAGGAAAGCCCACGAGGGTAAGATATGAAACATGTCTTCAAAACACACATGCATTAATCTATACATTTAACACAATCACAAATAAATATCTTAACAGAATTTGAACAAACTAAAACGTGTAATAGAAAACTTGAAATAAAGTTTTGCAGAAACTCAAGGAGGGAGAACTTATATTATCAGACAATAAGACATAACAAAGTTGAATATTTTAAAACAACTCACCAACTTTGGAATGTAAACATTAGTAATTTCCAATTACTTGGAAATCACCATCACCACATTCTGATCTATTCTAATGAGCTGAAGGCATAGGAAGTTGTCAATCAGGAAGAATATGTATAGCAAAAAAGAGAATTCAGATGAAATCTTACATAAAACTAGCATGTAAGAATCAGGAAAAGAGAAATCAAAGGAATAAAATTAATTAAAAAGTGAAGCCACAGACTCCCAACTAAATATAGGATTTCAAAAACCTACTTTTAAATTGCACAATTCCTGGACATTCCCTTCTTAATGCGAATTTTGAAAGTGATATCCTAAGCAACACTAGCTGTAAAGAAAATGATTACTAAATTTTATCATGTTCAAATTAGGAACTGCTTTTTGTTACATGCATTAATTTATACATTTAACACTATCACAAACTCCCCCCACATGCACCAGAATGGGGGAAAAGCTACAAAGTATGAAAACATATTTGCAACACATATAACCAGCAAAGATATAAAAATAATTACATATAAAGATAAAAAATATCCTATAAATTCCAGGAAAAAGACGAAAACCAAATGGGAAAAAAGATCTGAAAAATAGACACCAAAAAAAAAAAAAAAAACTGAAAAGACAATCCAATTGCTAGTAAGCATAGGAAAAGGTGCTCAAAAGCATTAGTTTCCTGGGAAATGGAAATCCGAACCATGAGCTATTTCTATACATCCATCTTCTTGACAAAGATTGAAAAGTCTATATTATGTCTTTGTGTGATGTGGACCTACTTCTCACATAGCACTACTAGTAGTAAATTACTCTGAAAGAGTGTGGCATTTTCTATTAAAATTGAAAATATCCATAATTTATGACTAATTTATGACTTCCCTAGACCTAGAGAAATACATGAAGATATGCATATGTCTACAGAAATACAGTTTATAGAGATAAAGCACTAGAAATACCCAGATCTATTAACAAAATGTATAAATTAAGTGATATATTGTATATTCACACAATAAGTCATCTATATTTGTGTGTATATATATATATATATACATATATGGCAATGATGGCAAAACTACAGATAATTTCTAAAAACAGATGAATTTCATTAACATACTAGTGAGCAAAAAAAAAAGAATTTAATTCCCTTCATTAAAACATTGAAAACAGAAAAATCCAAATATGTTTTTTAGGGATGCATACACTAGAAAAGATACATACAAAAGTTACAAATTATGGGTTTATTTCTAACCTTCTTGAGACCTTTTTAGTGAAATGTGGAACGAATAAAAATTTGAGAAGTTTAGACACTGACTATTTCCTAGAATTGCAAACAAAGGTTTTATAGAGAAGTGGTACTTGAGCTAAACCTTAAAGAGTATAAAGGTTTCTAAGGAAAACTGACTAAGATAACTATCCCCAGATGGACAAAGATAAGGGAAACCAAGACCTGACTGGCCAAGTCCATAGACTTTGGCTGAGAACAGTGAATAATTCCTTTGTTTATGATATGTAGATCTGATTAATAATGGCCAAAAGTAATATTCTAAGATATTGCAAGTCAAAATAAGCAATCTGAAACCATATTAAAATAAAATCAGTTAAGAAGAGAATGCCAAGACACACAGTTGAACTGATGTCTGAGGAAATTAAACATAGCTGCAAGAAAGATCAGGCTAAAGGAATTTCCTGAGGCAGAATCTTGCAGGGATAGTAAATAAGTCAAGAATCACTTGGATAAATAACTATGAGTATAATTTCTGTATCATATGGTAAGTTTTTGTTTATCTTTGTAAGAAATTGCCAGACTGTTTTTCAGAGTGTGCCATTTTACATTCCAACCATCAATGAATGAGAGTTCTTGTTGCCCCATATTCTTGCCAACATTTGGCATTGTCAGCACTTTGGACTTTAGCCAACTAATGAGTGCATAGTTGTATTTTATTCTTTCAATTTGCAAATCCCTAATGACATATGATATTGAGCATCTTTTCATATGCTTACTTAACCATTTGTATATTTTCTTTAGTGAGGTGTCTGTCCATATCTTTTCCTATTTTGTAACTGGATTGCTTATTTTATTATTGTTGAATTTTAAATGTTCTTTGTATGTTTAGGAAAAGTCTTTTATCTGATATATGTTTTGCCAAAATTTTTTTCAACTCTTTAGCTAGCATTTTTATTCTTATGTGTCTTTCACAAAGCAGAAGTTCAAATTTTACAGAAGTCCAAGCTTTTTCTCATGGATTGTTCTTTTTGGTATTGCATCTTAAAAAAAATCACCAAACTCAAGGTTTTTTAAAAAGTTATTGACAAACCTAGATTTTTTTCCAGTGATCTTTTAGAAGTTTTATAATTTTGTCTTTTATATATTTAGATCTATGAGCCATTTTGAGTTAATTTTTATGAATAATGTATTTGCCCAATAAATTCAAAAACCAACATCCACACAAAAACTTGTACACAAATGTTTGACAGCTTTATTTATGACTGTCAAATAATGGGAAACAACCAAGATGTCCTTCATTTGGTAACTGAATAAACTATGGAGTATTAGTCAACAATTAAAAGGAATGAGCTATCAACCATAAAAAAAACATGGAGGAACCTGAAATGCATGTGACTAAGTGAAAGAAACTAGTGAAAAGACTATGTACTATATATAAGATTCCAACTATATGTCATTGTGGAAAGGTAAAACTATTCAGAGTAGGTGATAGGGATATGTAGGGGGAACACAGGGCATTTTTTAAAGAAGTAATATGATCCTATATGATACCATCATGATAGATATATAATAACCATTTATCAAAATCCATAGAAATTGATAAATCAAAGATTGAAACCTAATGTAAACTATGAACTTTGGCTAATAATATTTTATTAATAATGATTCATCAATTATAACAAATATGCTACACTAAATTCAAAATGTTAATACGTAGAGAGAGGCAAGGGGACATGCAGGATTTGCACTTTCCCCATAATCTCTGTAAAACTACAATTGTTCTAAAAATTATTTTTGTCATTAAAAAAGTCAAGATTCA